GTGCATTAATTCTCCTTTGCTTCAGAAGACAGACTGACAAACCTACCTCAACTGAGCTGGAGACACTGGAGGTAGGAGAGCTGCCCTTGGAAGCTGTGAGAGCAGAGATTTGCTTTGGATATAGCAAGGAAGGGGGGGGGGGGCATGTGTTTGCAGTGCTGGCCACCAAGGCCTGCAGAACTACTTTGTAGTGATGGGCTGGGCCTCACAGGCTCCCCTTCTCTACCTCCAACATGTGCACATGCCATAGGACACAAGCCTGGGTTGAGTGGTCACAGTCTAAGTGAGGAACACAGTTATGTGAGCCTCCACTCCCTCTGGCCCGAGTAACCAGCACCCAAGTAACAAATAGGCTGTTCTGGGTTGGCTGTGGAGGTGTGGGCTCTGGGAAGGTGCACTTAAGCCTATGACAGGAATAATCTCAGACACTTTCCTCAATGTGCTCATGACGCTAATGTTAGGTGCTTCAAAATCATGAGGTGCATTATGCAAATGAGACCACAATGAGCTGAGGACAAACGCCTGGAAGCGCTGCCCAGCTCATGCCCACCGCTTCCCCGGCAACTGAGCGCACTAAAACACTTGACCAGTTGCTCCAGCTTTATTGGGCGTGTTGAATTTTATAGACTGATGTTCCATTCTCTGGTTTCCAATATCCCCCAAATTGCATCTTTCTGAACGTTTTTTATTTCCTCATTGGAGTGTGCACAGCCTCCCTTGCCATCGGTTATTCAAACAGCATTTCTCATTTCACACGAGGGAAAGGACAACGGCCACAAAAGCTGCCGCAATGAGGGATGACAAGGGCAGCCTCCAGCAGGGCTTCATGTTGGTTGAATTTATGCACTGCATCATCCTAATGCAGTGAACCACCAGTTCTGTGTACCCCGACCAATGCAGCGCTGCTGTTCCCCTCCAGACCCTTCTTCCAGTGAGCAATGTCTGCACACATCCCTAAATACCGGGCTACATCTGGGCTCTGGTATGTCTCAGCTGTGTGACCCCCACATGCCTCTCTGTACTTCTCAGGCCCATCCTCTCCTTCAACTATAACATGGGCCTAGTGGCCATCACTACCTTCTCTGGTTATGCAAAGTGAGGGAAATACAAAAGATCATGCATGCAAAAGGTCGTCAGCACGTCACCTGGCCCAGCACATCTGATATGAACCATCATTGCTTCTGCTCAGCTAACGTGGTCAGCGATGCCCAAACTGAAGGGAACAGAGGCAGAACAGAAGTCTTCCTGGGATGCTCTTGGGGAACTTTCAGAATCCAGATAGCTCAGTAGTACCGAGTGCCAAGCACTGATGATGTCATAGAGTGCCAACCTAGAACCAAGACTTCTCTACCCTCGATCCTCAGGTCTGGACTTCTTGGAAAATCCTTTAACACAGTGATTCTCAACCTTCTAATGCTTCAACCTTCCAATACAGTTCTTCATGTTGTGGTGACCTCAGCCATAAAATTATTTTCACTGCTACTTCATAACTGTAGTTTTGCTACTGTTATGAATTATAATGTACATACTTTTGGAGATAGAGTTTTGCCAAGGGGGGGTGTGACAGGTTGAGAACCACTGCTTTAGCACCTCATGCTAAGGTTGGCTCCAGTCATGGCAGGCAGGAGGGCCTGTCTCCTCTTCTAGTATTCCTCTAGGGTACATCCAGAAAACTGGAGGGACCTAGGCACTGATTAATGGGGCACATGAGGGTAAAAGACAGATCAGCCCTGAGCAAGAAACTCCCCCTCCCCACCCCAGAGCCATGGCTCCAATAAAATGCCAAGAACATAGGCTTGGCAGGACTGAGGGGTGGGGACGAAGGAGGGAGGAGGGTGTGCAGGACCATGTCATCTGCTCTCTCCGCCTCACAATGGCAGCAGTCTGTTTAATATCAGCTTGAGCTCTGTGGGTGACAGTTTGCCATTCATCCCAAATTTCCAGGAAGTTATCAACACAGGAAACTTTTTTAATTTAAATTCTTTAATTACTACTCATATTTACATATCCATCCCCCCATTCCCTCACCCTCCCATCCTCCCATGTTTCCCACCAACCCATCCCCCAACTCCTCCCCAAAGGTAATGAGACCCTCCACCAGGGACCTTCAAAGTCTGTCATATGGTTTGGGGGAGGGCCTAGGCCCCCCTTGCCAACACAGGAAACTTTAATCACTTCTTCCTCATGAAAATACAGTTCTAAAATCGTCTGTCTTCTGCTCTCTGAGTGAACATGTAACTTCACTCTCTAGGAGTGCATCAGCCCCAGAAGCCAATATATGGACTCTCTTTACAGGGCCAGAATGTAGATCAAGTGGCAGATTACACTGGACCAAGGCACTGTGCCTGTAGCCGCTGTAGAGAAGCCTTTTGCCCAGAGCTGACTGGTGACACTATGCCCTCACCACACAGTGTGAGAGTCAGAATTCTGAGTCCCCTGTCCATAAGAAAACTTCTGGTATCAATCAATCCAAGTTGCTCTGGTGACAGAATTCTTTGGTACTAATAAAGCATCATTTAGGGATCATTGGCCTGAGTGAAAAATCATACTAAACTTGGGTGGCTTCTACCCACCTTTGTAGCTTTAATCCCAGGTCTCCTGGGCCAGAAGCTGGGCATCTCTTGTTCTAAGTCAGGAGCAAGGAGAGGTATGGAAAAGATGCTTTGTGTATGCTTTCCCTCCACTCCAAATTCCACCAAGATGATGTACAAGATACTGGATGGGACTCACTACCTGGCTTCATACAGAATTTGTGGTTGAAGGATTCTTGTCACAATGCATTCCTCCATGCACATTAGTTTTCACTTCAAAAAGTCGATTTTGAACTCTCTCTCCCTCCACCCCCCCTCCCCTATGAGCTTGCTTTTGAGGCAATCCCTCACCATGCTAGAGTCACGTTGTATGGCTGATCTGATGGCATAGTTCGAAAAGTTTCCAAACAAACCATGAAATTATGGAAGCAAAAAAGGTGCTTTGTGTCTGTCTTCAGCTTCTTTAGCCTGCCTGCAGAGTATTTGTGGATGTTCTTTTGTTTGTTTGTTTTCTTTTTGTTTTTGTTTTTCAAGACAGGGTTTCTTTTGTGGATGTTCTTTAGGTTGTTCTGCATCCAGAGGCATGCTGCCAGGCTAGTGACATCCAAGAAGATATTTTCTACTTACATTTAAAAAACAAATGAGTGGCCACACACTCACTAGCCTTTTCTATCCTTTTTCAAAGACGTATCTTATCTTCTAAAATTATATGTATGTTTCTATCTGTGTCCTTGGGTAATGTGTGTGAGAGTGAACCATGCTCAGAGAGGACAGAGGAAGGTTCCAGATCCCAAGGAGCTAGAGTTACAGACACTTCTCAACCTCAGATGTGAGCTCTGTGAGCTAAATTCCCAACTGTAAGAGCAGCAAGTGCTCTTAACTTCTGTACCTCTCTCCAGTACCCTGGCTTACTGTTGTGTTGTTGTTGTTGCTGTTACTTGCATCTTGGTGCATTCAGAGCTTAAGTTAGGCTCCACAACTTCCCAGGGCCACTCCTGTACTTCTACAAGTCTCTTCTGCCTGCCAGGGGAAGTTACTCTCATCCTGGGCTATGCCAACCATCAAAGACTGTAGTCACCAGGATGTGTGAGAGTTTGCTGCAGAGTTGGTGACAGAACAGGGTGTGGTTTGACTCTGTCAGATAAGCAGCCTCTCTAGCTCAGAAACCCTCTACAAGGAAAGACTTAGATCTGAAGAAAGAAGGGGAGGCTCCAGCTTCTGGGGCTGAGTGTATTGCTATGCCTTCTTGAACTGGGCCTCTGGGGTTGGCCTCATCTGTAAAGTGGGTACAATAACAGTATCTCTTTGCTGCCATGGGGTGTTATGAGAACAAAATGGACCAGAGCTGCTCTGACTAAGCACGTCTCTCTAAGTGGTATTAAGGACCTTGAGATGTTTGTGATGTCACTGCAAACAGCAAGACACATTCACCAGGTATGTGCAAACAGCTATAAAATTCCCAGCCTCTTACATGACCATGATGGTTAATCTTGATTATCTGCTTGTCTGGACTGAGAGATGCCTAGGAGACTGGCAAAGTGCTTCAGTGAGTGTGTCTGTGAGGACGTTATCCAGATTGTATCAGGACCCAGACATGGTGGCACAGGCTTGTCATCCCAGCACTGGGGAAGCTGAGATAGGAATGTCAAAAATTCAAAAATGAGTGAGTACATACCATGTTTATCTTTTTGTGATTGGGTTACCTCACTGAGGATGGTTTCTTCTAGTTCCAT